ACATGTGGTCCAAGGGAGAAATATTTCTCCTGTTTAAAGTTTTACTCTTCCCCATCTACTAAAGCAGGTGGATGTGGTGGTGTCAGGAAGCAGTTTTTTCACTCTGAGGAAGCTCCAAGTTATACTCCCATTATGGTGAGCAGGAATATTTGTCAGAGCTGTTGTGAGGTATTTTTTGGCCCTGATAGGAGGCTGTGGAGGCAGTAAGGCTTTTAGTATAGTAGCCCCTAGTGCAGTGATGGTGGACCTATGGCACACAGAGGCCTTTCTGTGGGCACACGAGCCATAAGTCACTAGATCACTACCCCCAGCGGCCAAACCTGAGGAGGAGGCTGCAGCTGCGGTGCTAGTGCCCCAACAGGCAGCAGGGCAGGATCCGGAGCAGCTGGCACTGGCAGTTGTGAGCTGGCTGAGCTATAGGGAGTGGCAGGGTTGGATACGACAGGAGGCGGATCCAGAGTGGGGTCTGGAAGCAGCTCCATGCCCGGGATTCCCCCTTCTGCTGCCACCACTTCCACTTCAGCCACCGTTTGCCACCCACTGGGTTATCTCTCCCCCCCCCCCCAGTTTGGGCATTCGGACTCAGAAAGGTTTACCATCACTGCCCTAGTGTAATGAATTCTTTGGTTTCATAACATTTGGTGCAAGTTGCCACTGGATTGACACTTTAGGTGTCACTTCCATTCCAATAGCAATACAGTTTTGTTCTGTTACACTTCTGTCCTTTGTTCTGTAACACAAAAGGCCTTTTGTTGTTGTTGTAGGAATTGGCAAAACAACATTGATCCAGAAAACCACTGAAGTTTTAAAGTCATCCGGTATCCCTATTGATGGGTTTTACACTGAAGAAGTGAGAGAACGTGGACGGAGAATAGGGTTTGATGTTGTCACTCTTGGAGGAAGAAGAGGAATCTTGTCTAGAGTTGGGTACTGATATTTAAAATATTACGTTCCTGCACCTAATTTATAAGGCCTTTTATGTTGTTGTTCTTTTGGCTTATTTACTGCCCAATAGTGCTAGAGTACTCTTGATAGTTTACAGCATAATTATGTAAACAATACTTTGCTGGGTGCTCATTTTATCAACCTCAGAAGGATGGAACACTGAGTCAAACTTGAACTGCTGACCTGAACCTGTTGGGATTGAACTCAGGTCACGAGCAGAGGCTTGACTGTAGTACTGCAGTTTAACCACTGCACCACAGGACTGTATGCATGGCCCTTTGAAGCTATTGGGCTCAATATTTAAAAAGTATCTGGAGCAGGCTGGCCAGATGCAAAAAAAAAAAAAAAAAAGAGAGAGAGAGAGAGAGAGAGAGAGAGAGAGCAAATTTTAGTACTGTACTTCTGTAAAATATGGGATTTTGGCATATATAGCATTTAAAGATACAGAACCCTCTTCTCCTTGTATCTGGCCATCCTAAGCTAGAGTAAGATGAACTGCTGAAATAATAAATAAAATTGTAAAGCCACCATCTGGTAACCATTAATATACATGTGGTGTCATATTAATATGGAATGGTGAGAGAGTGACCTGTAACTGAGCATTAGCACTAGCTTGCATCCTGCAGCGTATTGCTCTGGGTACACAACATTCCATCTTTGCCATTATTCTATATGGTATTATTGTATGTATAGCCCAGTCAAGATTGGAGTGTTGGTAGTCCTCTGGAGTTCTTAAAAAGAGTAGGGTGGGCATTACTGTGGGTCATACCAAGTCAGCTGAAGAATTTAGACATGCCTTATATAGTCTTAACAGGATTACCTGTTAAAGAACAGTATTCTGGAATGTTCTGTTTCTGCTGTTTTCAATATTTAATGTATTTTATTCTTTGTTTTTATCTAGTTCTGGTCCTTCAGCAGGAAGGCACGAATACCGTGTTGGCCAATATGTAGTAGACCTGGTATCATTTGAACAGTTGGCTCTTCCCTTGCTGAGAAATGTGAGTGACGTTCTGGAATATGGCTTTTGGGGAAGAGAATATGATAGTAAGTTCTTAGTGTAATAAAAATGCACAGGTCCTAACTAGCACAGAACTGTGCTAAATCTTATTGTGTGAAGTTATGCCACTGGATGTGGCACTGGAAATAATAAATGTACAGTGGTACCTCGACTTACGAACGTAATCCGTATTGGAACAGAGTTTGTATGTCGAAAAGTTCATAAGGCAAACTTTTCCATAGGAATGCATTGAAAGCCATTTAATCCGTACCTGCTCTTTTTCTGTTCGTATGTCGAGGCGCTGTTCGTAGGTAGAGGCATTAGTTCCCATAGGAACTAATGCAAAGCCGGTTAATTTGTACTCTACCACTAGGGGGAGAATTTTTAAAATTTTCTTCTTCTTTTGACCTAAGATGAACTTAGGTCAAAAAAGGGCAGGAAAGGGGTTTTTTTTCGTTTGTAAGTCGAGGCTCCGTTCGCAAGTTGAAGCAACTTTTTGCGAATGGAGCTGTTTGTAACTCGAATCATTCGCAAGTGGAGACGTTCATAAGTCGAGGTACCACTGTAAATGAATTGGAAATCTTTTTATCCCTCCATTTCAGGTTCTGAAGCTCCCTTTTTGCTCTGGGAAAGCCTTTGGAAGTCTTAAGTTTGGGGAGTGGGAGGCTTTAATAATTGAAAATCACAGCCAGATTGTCACCACCGTGGGGATAGGATGCTTTTAATTAGTGTAAATTAAACATTTCCTATGCCTCACCCAAGTTGCACTGAGCGCAAAGTTAACCACAAGATTTTACCCAATGGCTAATCCTTAAAAAGCTCACATTGCTATGGAGAACCTAAAATGGAGGAATATTATAGTTGTATGCATAAAGGATTGTATTACTGTTTTCCGATAGTAGTACCATTTAGGTATGAAGTAAATGTATTTTCCAGTGGACTCTCCTGTATGATCACTAAAGGAATGGTATAGTACCATGGGTCATTTAAAAAATCCTCAAATAATGATGATATCTGTATTTTCAGTAATATCTGCTTTTTTCTGGGGAGCTTATCTCTGCGCAAAGAATGTGATATGAATAGGTCTCAGATTTTTCTAAGGCATTTTCTTTAGTTTTCCTTTGCTCATAAAAAAGCAGCATAACAGCAGTGTAATAAATAGCATTTACAGTGAGATGTCAGGTTAGTGGGCATTTGTCAATAATTATTTCTATAGGTACAGAACCAGAATCGATAATAAAATAATTATTTTGTCTAGTGAAAAAAATCAGAACATAGAGGGCATTGTAAGCTTTTTACAGTAAGGCATTTAATGTATTTTATTGGATGACATAAAAATTACTGACAGCAAAAACACAAAAACATAAAGGGATGCGAAAGTATTGGGAAATACTGTAATAAGCTGGGAAAGAAATAGGTGTCAGAATTTGCAGCATAGTTGCTAGAATGTTGCTAATAATTTTATAGGGATTTAATTTTAGGCTACAATCTTGTACATATTTAGCTGGGACATAATTGTTACATAAAATTTTTGTTTACATTTAGTGAAGCATTACATTGGATGTGGCAGATAATTTACCTGCAGGAAAAACAAGCCAGAATAATTTGTTTCAGGTGGATGTGCATAATTTGATTTGTCTCTAATAAAATCTGCAAATATATTTTACAGCACAATACTTTGTATGTGTTCTGAACAGTAGATTCTGCTGAATTCAGTGGGGATGACTGATGCAAGTGGGTGTAGGATAACAGCAATATATGCTCACCTAATCTGTAGTACTTTGGATACCTGATCTTTTGTCTAACTTATTTTTTTCAAATAAACTATTCTTTAGAAAGTGAACTATAGAATAGTGATGAGATTTATCTATAAATCTGCTGAACTTCCATAGTGACGTCTTTGATCTGATACATGTTTTCCTCATAGGCTGATCCTGGGAGTAGTGCAGTGAAAAAGGTCTGTGTAATTGATGAGATTGGTAAAATGGAGCTCTTCAGCCAGAGTTTCATTCAAGTTGTCTCTCAGATTCTGAGTGGATCAGGAGTTGTGATGCTTGGAACCATCCCTGTGCCTAAAGGAAAGCCCTTGGGGCTTGTGGAAGAGATAAGAAATCGGAAGGAGGTGAAAGTCTTCAATGTAAGTTGTTGAAAGACCAATTGGAGAAGTTTTTGTCTTTAGTATGGCACGAAGCCTAACATGGCTTTAGAGACTACCTGTTATCATTATTTGAGGTACTTTTTTTTGATGACGTTGTATTCCCTCTGAAGGAACAGCAACATAGGTTGAAAATGCTTTTTGATACATTTTTATGAGGAAGTTTTGGGTACACAGTGGCTGAAATACTGTTGCTTAGCATAGGTAGCACTAGAGTATACACATTGGATCAGTGGTGATCGGGTGAGTCAACACCTCCATGTATATTCCATTGGTGCAAAAAGGCCTACTCTAGTTGTGACTCAATTTAGTGTAGTACATCACAAGTAGAATAGATCCATTTGAGTTAGTTGAATTTACCGAGAACTTGGCATCATCAAATCCCCACTGATTCAGTGGGTGTATTCTAATGCCACTTGCTATGCTATGCAACAGGATTTCAGCCATTAAATGTATCACTTTTTCCTACTAGTTTTTAATACCTTAGAACTGCAGACTTGTTACCAGAGCTCCTTGGAGCAGGCCCCAGATTGCAGCAATCCAAGCTTCTCGGTTCCCGGAACGCTTTCAACTCTGCTTCCCATGACATTGCTTTCTTGGTGCTTCTGTTCTTTTGTTTGCCCATCAGCTCTATCTCACATTTGTTTGCTTCTGGCCTCCGGTAACAGCATCTCAAGTTCTTTAGTTAGTGAGTCTCATGAAACCAGAAGTGCTAGACGCAAAAATCGATACAGGCAAATGCACAAGATGGTTTTGATTCACTTGTGTCAATTTATTTTGATGAAAGCTTCAAAGAGTATAGATCTATAGCCCTGCTTCTTTTTTCCAATCCAATTCCCTTTTCTCAACCAGACACTTCAGATACCATCTTCAGAGTATTTCTGAAAGTTGAACTTTCCCTGGCCTTCTTGCCCCATCCCTCAGTTGTCTAATTTAGCCCATTCTAGTTTAGTTCATGCATTTTTGGAATGAGGCAGTCACTCCCTTCAATATATCTCATTGTCTACAGATTGTTTCAGCCCTTGAGGAATGTTATCATTTCAGAACCTACACTCACTGTTTATAATTTTTTTCATAAAATTATAATGTGATAATGTCCACACATACTGCATCTGACTGCATATTTTCAAGTTTACAATAGCCTGTTTAACCTCTTGGCCTTTGATCAGTAAAAGATGAATTGAATAATTTGGCGATGGATTTCATGGGTCCAGAAGAAATGTTCTCTTAATATGGAATTGTAGTGAAAGAATCCTTATACATTTAAATGGAAGCCATTGATTAAAATCTTACTGCTGTTCATGAAAGGTTTGTATAAGTTGTTGCAGGTATTAATTCATGAAGAGTCATGGTGTGACTTGGTCATGTGTTGCTCATGTGCCCAGTTGCACAACCAAGACATACCCTGGCACTTTGTCAGTTGACTGTTACAAGTTGTGTAGACCTTGTGCAAATAGCAATAGGATCAGCTGGATATTCAGCTGTTCTCAGATTTGTCTTTTACCATCTAAGTAGGAACCGTCCAGTCTTTGCCTTTCCAGGTAGGTGTCTGTTCATTCTAAACCTTACATGCCAGTCACTATTTCAGTAAGTGGTAGCCCTCACTAATCCAGTTTTTGGATGTGCTGATAACTGTTCTTCTGTTTCCTAATTCTAGATTACAAAGGAGAATAGAGACAGCATTTTGCAAGATGTTGTGACAGCTGTGCAGAATTGCCTGAAATGAAATGTTTGTGTTTTATTTACCATCTCATGTGCTTTTTGTCTTTACTTACTGAATATTCAAAAGTGAGCTGTGCTGTTTCACATTTGTGCCAGTCGTGGCTTTTCAGAATAGACTTAGTCTGTTTATAGTCACAACTGAAATATTCACCAATACACCAAGTGTCTTTGAACACTAAAGTCAAGTTATTAAATTATTACCTGTATTGTGTCCAGACTTTGAACTGAATATTGTCTAAATATGAGTCGGGGAGGTGTTGGTGAACAAATTCTGTACTGTATTGCATCAAAATAAATGGAACTGATGTGGCACTTAGTCACTTATAGCTTTGCATTGCAGAAGAGGAAGCTTCCTTTGTGCTAAGAATTACAGTACTGTTTTTCACAGATGTAGGCTCTGGTGAGTTGTGCAATAGTTGTACGCTTGAATTGCACAGAAAAAGCTCTTCACATCTATCCATGCGATATTTCACGGTGTGTGGTTAAGTCGGCTTGGCTTATCTCTCAAGGAATTTAGACTTGAAAAAGATAATCTGAAGCTTGGAAACAAGGGACCATGGATGTCTTTTTAGTTGGTATTTAAAAGAAACAGCTGAGGTTTTTTTTTTTTCAGATCTTGGGGAAAAAGTAACTTTTTTGGATGTAATTCCCAGAAGCCCCCAACCAGTTAGCTACTGGTCATTCTATAAGTTGTCATCCAAAACAGCGACCTTTCCAAACTCTGCTGTGTTTGCTAGTGTAATAAAAAGGTAAAAGTTCCCCTTGACATTTTTAGTCCAGTTGTGTCCGACACTAGGGGGCGGTGCTCATCCCGATTTCAAGCCGTAGAGCTAGCACTTGTCCGAAGACAGTTTCTCTTGTCATGTGGCCAGCGTGACTAGAGAACGCCGTTTTACCTTCCCCCCAAGGTGGTACCTATTTATCTACTCACATTTGCATGCTTTCGAACTGCTAGGTTGGCGAGGATAGTGTGATAGCTGCCAAATTTTCCGATACCAATTTTTTGGCTTGTTTTTTTTTAATTTCAAGATTTTTGCAAATTTTCTTGACATACATTTCCATTAAACCAGTTTAAAATATATTTTCCTTTATAGGTTGTAAATTGTTTTTCTAACCCTGGGGTTCAGCAATCTGTGTGTCCACTAAAGCTTAAAAAATCTATTTTGTTTCTATTGGCATGATAATAGGTAATAAAGAAACTATAAATTACTGTGACACAACTTGTGTCCCTTAAGACTTGTGGATGGGGTTCGGGGAAAGTGTTTACTATTTAATCAGTTTTGTATTTCATGAAAGCTAAATTCCCAGCCAGGTGCACATTTGTTTTATACATTTTAAGGGTACTCAGTATTTTACGGAGGATAGAGTGACGGACTAGAACTCCAGAGACCTTGGTTCACATCCCTGCTTGGCCACAGAAACACATGGGAGTGGGGAGGTAACACTGGTAATACCGGTCTTTTATTATCTTGCTTACCTTGAAAACCCTAATAGGGTCCCTATAAGTCTCAACACACACACTCTCTCTCTGGCTCTAGCAAAGTTTGTAAAGGTATGTAAGCGCCCTTTTCTTTCTCTCCTCTCCTACAGTAGTGTGTCAGAAGTATAACAAATTTTGAATTTAAAGCAGCCGTTTATTTGAACATTGGCTTTTAACTAAAGTCCATTGGGAACGTTTAACTATATGTGTAGAATATATAACATTACATAGGACTACAGGAGTAGTTGTTGGGGGCTGTGGCACATTCTGTGGAACTAACTGTTAATGGCACCACAGCACACATTGGTTTCTATGTGACTGGAGCTAGTCACAGAGGACTGGTAACTTGCCCAAGAAAGTGACCAGGTGTTAGAGTTTGGGCCTGGACCTCAAATACCAAACCACTTGTTTGATGCTACGACCACAAGAGAAGAATTGAGCAATGCTCACAAAAATGCACTCATGAGCTCCTGGAAAAAGCAGAACATCAAAACAATACAGGAATCGCACAAGCCCACGCAAAACAAATACAGCATACACACACAAACTCCAAAGCAAACATCCACCATAAAAATCTCCACATTGTGTGCTGTTGTGTTCATGTTTTGCTTGTGGGCCACGCATAGTTTGTTTTAGTGGTTGGTCACTGAGGTCTGATCCATCATGGTCTATAATCACCACCATCATCCTAGGACTGGAGAGCTGGAAGGGATCCTGTGGATCATTTGAGTCCAGCCCCTGTCAGGGAGGCACAGTGGGGAATAGAATTTTCAACCTCTGGTTCCACAGCCAGAGATCTAAAGCACATTGTAATATATTCTTATAAAATATACCCAGCTTGTGCCCTGCTGTGATCCTTATTGCTTTTGTTTTTAGAGAGAGATTTTACAGGCTCCAATGGCACCCCTTGTCTCTCTCCCCTGCCTCTGAATTGTGTCTGGGCCCACGTGAGATCCATTGACTGCTTGGAAAAAGAAAAGCAGAGGGTGGAGCAGTTGGAAACGGATGCATGCATTACCAAGGGGAATTGTTTGTTTGTTTGTTTGTTTAGCTTATATGCCGCCCATTTAGACATAGTCTACTCTGGGTGACTCACAAACGCATAATAAAAACAATTAATATAAAGTAACGGTTTCCTACATTAACACAAAACAGAATAAAGAAAGAGAGAATTACGTAGAGTCTGGAGGGAAGGCCTGTCTATGTAACCAGGTATCGAGTTGGTTTTTGAAAATGCCCAGCGAGGGGGCCAGATGAATCTTGGGGGGGGGGAGTGTGTTCCAAAGCTTGGGAGCCACTGCCGAGAAGGCCCGGTGTCTTTTTTCTTTTTGGGCCTCCCTCGGCGCTAGGCTCCTCAGTCGCCCCTCCTAGAGCAGCGACGAGGAGACCCTTCCCCTAATCTCTCCAGAAGAAGAGCCTTCAGAAACCCAGATCCCAGTGAAAGGTTTAATTGGACCTTGGACTATGGAGGACAGTAACCCCTTTGTTGGAAGTTTATGGACACCCTTGCACCCCGGTTTGGGGGAACAAGAGCCTTTGAAAGTTATTACTCATAACGTTCCAGTTGAGGTTGATGTTCAAATAAATGAAGAACCAGTTTGAAAATTTACCACGTCTCGGTCTTTATTGAAAGTGACTGACCCCCTTAATAACGAACCCTCACAGAGTGCACCAAGAAAGGGACACAGCTAGGCAATCCACCAAAGATGGAAATAGGCGATGCGGACCACTGACGCCACCTACATTTCCATGTGGAAAAGCCAAATTAAAAATTGGAGCCAGGATACCTAAATGTAGATATGCAGAAGGCTGCAGGAAGACCTTTGGGCTACTATTTTACTGTCTTACAGCCAGCATGCAGAAGTGTGACAATGAACTGGACAGAAGTAATGACCTTAAGTAGTATTAAGCCCACATGCTTGGTCTTGTGGCTCTTTAGAGCTACAGAAAGCTAATAGTTTTCTGCATTCCTCAACCCCAAGCAGACGTCATTTGTTTTTCTGCTTACCTCTTCATGTGAGAATGAATCAGGAGTGAAAAACTGGCCGACCAATTTTGTAGATGTTCTCTTTGATCGTTTTATATCTGTTGTGATACAACAGATTAGAGTTGTCTTTCCTGGCAGCGTGTGGCTTCTTCCCTTGAGAGTTATTTCTTGTTCTCAGCCTTAGAAGCTTTCTGCAGTACAGCTGTTTTACACATACAGATGGCATTGAAGCATCAATATCCCAACACAACATGCCTGTTTCAGACATACAGTATGGCGTGAGATACCAGATTAAGTTGAACAACTTTACAGTTCATCTTAAGAGGGAAGCTTTTTGCTTTGTTATTTTCTGGGTCCTTGTCTTGAAAATTCAGAATCTGCCTTGGGGGGGGCCCTCAAGAGCCCTGTGTCACAGGAAGGCACAGCTCGCCACACAGCACGCATCCAGTACAATTGGTCTCATGTGTGTAGAATGTCTCTGCAGAGCTCCTGATTACAGCTTCGTTGCACCTGTGAATTTTAATTGGTATAACAGGAAGAGAGTAATTTGTGCCTGGTCTTCTCCCCATGCTTACGAAACAAGGCCACTCAACACACAGGTTTGTAGCAATTCAAAAAAAATGTCCAGATGGTGGGACTTAAACAAAGGTTTAATTATTTTTCTGATGTTGGCATGATTTTTTAAATTTCTTATTTATTTATTTTGTACGTAAGATATTTTAAAGAAAGGATTAATTCCGTCCAGATTTTGGACAGAAATGTAAGACAAGAATTTGGAGAAATAACAGGTAGAAAAAGTTATGTCAATAAAATGTTGAAGTGGAATGCAGTCATTATGTGGTGATGTCAAAACTCTGACACCTAAACAGCTTCCTAAAGAGCCTTACAGACTTTTTAGACTTTTGAGAAAAAATACAGAAGCTTTGGCTCATCACAGCTGGCATTTATTCTATTTAGAGTTAATGCAAAAATAACACCAAATAACCATTTCCAGTCATATCAAAGTTCATCTGGATATCAAGGTGAAATAATTAGTTCCATTGCTGGAAATATTCCAAGCAACATCGGCTTGCCTCTTTCTACAAGCTTTATTCATCCAAAATTGCTTCTATGTTCCACGTGCACAAAATGAAGCCCAACAAATAACAATTCAAAATGTATTGAAAGCATTATTGTAGCTATGAGAAAAGCTTTAGGCCAAATGCTTAAAAGTATATGAGACTAAACTTAAGTTGTAGACAAATACATCAGAAAATTATCTTTCAATCCAGAAGGCAGGAGCATAAAAGGCACAATAAAAATATTAAAAAGAATGTTTTAAATGCAGTTAAAAAATGCAGGGGCTTATAGCCTAAAAATGGTCAATGATAAGCAAAGAATACTTCTTTTAAAATATCAAAGTTCTTAAAAGTAAGAATATACAGTAGGAACTCTGCATTGATGGGATCAGTATCTAATCAGATAACTAATACAGTATCCATAGTATTAGTTATCTGTGGTTTACTGTACCATAGCCCTATATACAACATACAAGGAGGTGGGCCTTATGACCTTTTTCCTGCCTCCTTGTAAGTTTTATATGAAATTCAGGCATTTGCAGTGGATCATTGAAGAGATCCCCTGCGGACATGACAGTCTTAATGTTTTTAAATATTCTAGAGGTAAGCAGAAAAAATACTAAAATATACAGTGGTGCCTCGCCTAACGAGCGCCCCATACAGCGATGAATTCGCATAGCGATCCCTTTTCTGGGATCGCTAATGCGAAGGCATCGCATCGGCCCCAATGGGCGAAATTCGCATAGCGAAGATCGGTAAGCGTTTCGCTTACCGACCTTCGCTTTGTGACCTGCGGATCAGCT